AGAAATGAAAAAGAAATTATTTCGGCCGCCAGAGCTGCTCCGCCTCTGATAAATATCTTTATTACCAAATCAACTCAGTGTGTCGTGTTTGATGTAAACAGCTTTAAAAAGGGAAGATTATCGCCGGCTAATTGACTGCCAGAGGAAAGCATGAAAACATTTAAACAGCAATTAATCTAAAAGTCATTTCAGACGTTACGCTCTGCTGGATTTGTAATCGCGGCGTGTAAGTCGGCACACACACACACACACACACACTAAAACAAGACACGTCCAGATGTGTGAATAGACAAACAGACACACGCTAAGATGATTAACAAAATCCACAACAGTTTAGCCAAAGACGTGTTACACTACAAGTTACTAAACTTCAACAGTCCTCAGAGACAGAAGTGCACAGACTCTTTGTATTTACAGTATACGGAAAACGGACGTCACGAAAGCAGAGGTTTTTTTAGTCCGTTCAAATCCCCAAAAAGTTCCACAATTCTCGAATTTGACACCATGGTGAAAAAACAGTTGAAATCCTAATTCATCTTATATTGCTGTGACATCATCTCACTTAAACTCCTGGATTGATTGAAAGTGTCTTGGAAAAAAAAAAACATTTATTAATTTGCACCATAATCATTTTTACTACACAAAGCTTAAACGTGCCGCATTTGCCAGTTTGCATTTGTAGGAAGAGACTCTCGACACACGCCGGCTGACACGCGTTCCTCTGTACTGGAAGCCATCCGTCACCGCGGGACCTCCAACGCGCTGTCGTGAAACCGTCACTTTTGGCCGAGTGAAGCTGCTCAAGCGGAGTCTCCCTCTGCTCTGAGACGGGGAGGCCCGAGGTGATACGCCTAAAAATAAATAGCGACTTTCTCTCCTCCACACTAAACCACCGTCTCTCTTGCTCGCCGCTTCCCTTTTTCTGCCTTCTCCTCCTCTCACATCCTTTTTCTCAAGGATGTGAACTATTGATGCAGCGGCTGCACGAGCAGTAAAATAATAAAACAGATCTTATGCAATCATATTGAAGTAGGCGACAGTCCAAAACAACTTAAGTCGTGTTGTTTGCCTCCAAAAAGGACCTCAAGGTTTTGGGGAATGTTCAACAAAGAGTTATTTTATTATGTATCGATTTGTGTTTTGTGATTTGATTAAAGTTTAGTTTAGACAGACAATTAGGTTTAATTAAGGATCAATTTATTATTTGAATTGTTTATCCAAAAATACCAGAGTTCATGTGAGTATTCGCTGCTGTAAACTACCATTAAAAACAACTTTGTATCCTGGGAAACTACGATGACGGATTTCTTCAAACCGTTTTCTCATGTTCAGGTGGATTAAGTCAACTTGCACCTTTCCTCCTCACCGGATTCAATTACGACGGCAACAAATGTCTTTTGTCTTTAAGCACCTTTCTGTCTTATCGCGGCCTCCGTTGAGTGAAGCTAAAAGGTCAGCAATGAGAGTAGACTGTGATGACAGCGCATCACCTGCACGTCTGTTCCATAAACACACACACGCACACACACACACACACGAGTCCGAGGCTTCGTTCTCATTAAGCATTTATTTATTGTTTGGTGGTTAAAACCTCCTTGAGACTCTTCGCACGGAGCCTCGGTGGGTTGAGCTGAAGCCGCGTTTCGCATCGCTCTCTGGTGGTAAATCGCCTCTTCACAACGTCCTACGACAACATGCAAAACCCACCCATGTGCGTCTTTGTGCGTCTTGTTTCGACTCATTTCAACATGCGACTCATTTGTAAAGGATTTTGTGGAGCCGTTCATTCTGGCGCAAAATAGACAATTTACAAGATACAGATGTTCAAATACGTAATACCCGATTTCACTTCTACAACCAAGAGCAAGGAAACTTTTTAGTTGATCAAACCTCTGAGGTGATGGAGACTGCAGTAAAGGTGCAGCCCGTGACCTTCAGCTAGCAAAGGAAGATCTAACGTTAAGAGATGAAAGTACGCGCTCTACAGATGTTGAGCGTCTATGATGAATACGTGTGAAATGTCCACAGCACATACATTACTTTGTGTATCCAACAGCCGGTGTGTGTTTTCCTACGAAGGTTTAGGAGGCGGTTGTTGTTGAATCCAGCACAGACGTTACTGGGCTCTGTTAGACGGACAGATTCTTTATACAGCTAATTATGAACCTCCAGCCCGACGAGAGAGCGACAGAGAGAGAGATCAATATGCATTGAGGTGAATATTTCAGACTCACAGCCAGTTAGTCTGGATTACATCGCCCAAATGGAGACCGAAGACGCGTCCAACCGATCACTCGAGATGTTTATTGGTCAGATATTAGTTACAGTTCAGAAAAATCTTTAGCAAATGGATGTGAAAGTAATATGTGGCAGAAGTAAACGTGTGTGAGAGAGCCGGAGAGAGAGAGAAGTGAGGACCCTGCAGCTCCTCTGGTCGTCTTCCTGATTCCATCTGACTGAACTCGCGGTCTTGTCTCGTGTTGTCCTCTGCGTGAACTTCTTACAACTCTTCAAGGATGAAGACGAACGCAGATCATCGTCAGCGCCACAAGGTTTTTTTGAGCGACATAAACTGGATATTTAGAGATGAAATATGTGTCTGTACAGAGGCCGCCATGTTGCTACGGTAACCCATAAGGGCCAAACTAAACAGTCTAGAAAGAGCCTTTCACGATTTTTATGTTTCCAGAAGGAATAAACGATAATTTATCGTCTTTCAATGGAACCGTTTTGTGATGAACTCGTATACCGTGAAACTCAATAAACAAATCGCTGAGATGCCAATATCACCTTCGATTTCTCAAAAATATAATGTAGAATATTTTGAGGATAGATGTTATCAAAACATGCTGAGGAAAAGATTATTGTTCAACATAAAATACTTTTAAAAACTCCAACTTACATCCTCACCTCTCCCTGCAGCACCTGAATGCCTCACGAGTTCCATGTGATTTGTAAAAGACTGTAAGGAAATCTTACATTTTCCCGCAGGTCTTCATCCATGTATCCCATCATGCATCATGGTCCAATGCACCTGCCCGAAGCCTCGGTCGTACTGTGCATAATGTTCCCAAAGGTACACAATGACAACGAGTGGAAATATGTTCACTGATATGCAGCTGTGCATGTCAGCTATCGATTACCATCATAATCAATGCGAGAATCAGTGTCTTTGTCGAGCATGTATTGACGGTTCTGTCCACTAACACACAAATGGACTCTAAATATAGCTTTGGACACGGGAGCAGCAGGAAATCTGTCGGAATCAACCCTAAAAACTGAGTCAGCGTTCAGACTTAAGCTCTCACCCCCCCATCCCACCATCCCACCAACACACACACACTGCAGCTATTCCATGTTATTGTTTTGGAGAGCTGATCCATCCGTTTATAATCCAACAGCTTTTACCGACTTTCTCTACGTATCAGCCGGTTCAGACAAAAGGGCCGAAAGAGGCTCATCGCCAAATGTTGGATCCATCAAAAGCTTTTGACAAGTCTTGGTTTGTTTCTTTCTGTTTTAAAGTCAACATTCTGCCCTCTAGTGGGATTCATTCAACCCCCCCCGCCTACGAAAAGAAACAAGGACCACGCAAATCCAGTCAGGCAGGCGCCACAGTGTGCGTGAGGTACTGGTACAAAGAAACCCTCTGGACATTTCTTCTGTTGGGATGCTGCACGTCGTGAAGATCAAAATGAATAACGACAAAAGGAACTTCAGAGGGGCACAAAAACAGAGCCAATCCCACGTGTTCATCGGAAGCTCCTTCAGCTCAGACTCAGGGGGGGTTAAAGAAATCTACACCAATGTAATGTGACTCTCATATTAATGTCCCCTTTCCGATCTGCACAAATATCACATGGGACAAAAAGGTGTCATTTTTTACTGAAAAGAATCAACTGCGGGTTTTAACCGCATCTCGTGCACCAGACTTGAGTCTCCGGCTCCCAAAGTAGAGCCAGAGAAAAACCATAAAACCTTTCTGAACAAGCACGCTCGTTAATATCGAGAACTTCCATAAAAATACTGCGGCGCGACTCTACGGGAAAACAACCCAATGGAGGTGGACATCTGAGGAGTGCCCAGCCCCATGTCAGTCAATAGAGAGACACCTTGTACCCGCACCTTTGATCACCTGCACGTCTGTTCCATAAACGTTACATAACCAGAATAATCAAAGTCCTCAAGCAACAGGACAGGACGTGTCAAACGCTGAATTTAAAGCATTGTTTCAAAAAGGGAGAGAGGACTTTAGAGGAATCTGCCGGGAGACTGCAATCAATTCCTGTGAAATATTCCTTTCAAATACTAGAAAAATCCTTTCTGGCGTTGGTCACTTTGTAAAGTCTGACGTTTTTCACGCGAGATGGAGGGAGAAAAAAACCCACATTGGAGACGAAGCAGAGACAAAAAGTCCACCACCAGTGAGTTGACGTCCCTCTTAAACGAAACCCACAGGGGTCCCGGTGACTTCCCACGATGCACCATAGAACTGATTTTACATCTGCGATGCTGCTCACTTACAGCCTCCTGTACATGTGGACCTATAGGCTCCTCATCGATAGATTACCGACGTCCCGAACACACGCAGAAGCTGCAGTCCACATTGAAACCGGTCGATCTGAACTGGGGGGAAAGAGTTTTAAAATATCAAAAGACCCACAGTCCGTCAGGTTAAAACACACAGTGGTGTCCTTTCACCTTATGGTTCGTAACTGAACATGCAAATGACCTCACGGATTTGACCTGACATTCCTTTCACTGGTTCCTGTAACAATAGTCATATTATGAGAGCTGATCATCGGATGTGGTTATCTGAAGTGGGAATGGAAATAATCGAAGTGACTTTAAACTCATTTGAAATTACAGCCAAATTATCAGAATATTAACAGTGATTTATTTGTTCCTTCCTTCAATTCGGGGAAGGTCAGGCTCCTCTACAGAGGTCAGCACAGCACAGCGGGCTGATGATCTGCGAGAATAAAGCAGCTTTAACTCACCATTTCCTCGTGGAGACGCCGGGTCCAGAAAGCATGTCACGACGCTAAATCCCCGCGAGCCGGCAGCGCATCGTTGTTCAGTCCGAGCGCAGCGTCACGCAAAAACACCCGCCGCCAACTAAGTAACGAGCCCTCAGGGGAGGAGGGAGCCCGGCAGCCCGGCAGCCAAACGACGAGCGCGGCGCGCCGGAATGTGGAGAAAGCGTCCGTGCGCACGAGACCACCGACTGGCGGTGCGCGCCCGGAGACACCGGAGAGAGGACGTGGGGAGGGACACAGAGAGAGAGGGGGAGGGAGAGAGACTGGGGTGGGAAGTGCAGAAGTCTCGCGGAGAGGTTAGCGGATCCTTTGGAGGGGCAGCGCGGAGATGTTGGCGCTGTGCCGCTGCGCCTGAACTCGCCGCGGACACGGAACCCGCTCCGCTGTAGTCCCTCCTCCTCGGGCCCGGGGTGAGGGAAGCATGCGTGTGCATGTCCCTCCTTCCCTCCCTCTCTCTCTTGTGTCATTGTTACTCTGCATTGGTCCATCGTGATGCCTGGTCCCCCTGACACGGAGAATGTGCGCGCTTGAGTGAAATGAAGGAGAGATGCGACTGTAGGTCAAAAGTTGTTCCTTTTCTTTTCGAATGAAATCAATACGATGAGAATGTCGTTTTCCTAATTTGACCTTGGATACAGATGTTCTTTAATCTATAACAACTGGTCATTTTAAAGCGACAACCCCCTTCTCGCTTCTCATGTGCGTTGTATAATAAACACGTGAAGGGTCAAAGGTCACAGTGTGCCAATAAATGAGTGTGTGACGCGTGATTAACGTTTGTAATTCAGGAGAATAACATTCCGGTTGGGATTCAAATAGTTTCGAAACTCCAACCGATGTGACATCCAGACGGCAGTCTGTTGAATCTGTTTACAGTGGACGGACGGGTCAAACAAACACAGGACTTTCACCCAGGAGACGGCTCTGCATGTCCCACGTCCAGGTTTACTTTGCTCATAACTTCCACAACGGTCTAATTGTCAGGGATGCGGGGAGGCAGGACTCAAACGCAGACGTCGAGTAAAGACTTTACTAGTCAAAAGGCAACAAAGAAAAAGGCCAACAGGCAAAAAAACACACACGAACTAGGGCAAAAAGGCAGGCAGGAACTAACGAACATCCAGGACGACGGACAAGGACCATCCAGGACGACGGACAAGGACCATCCAGGACGACGGACAAGGACCATCCAGGACGACGGACAAGGACCATCCAGGACGACGGACAAGGACCATCCAGGACGACGGACAATGACGCAACAAGAGACAGGAGACACACAGCTTAAATACACTAGGGAGGTGCAGGTGATTGGACACAGGTGCAAACAATCAGACAATCACAGACGATGACAGGACCAGGCAGGAAGTGAAGTTACCCAGGGAGACAAGAAGCAGAAAACTACAAAATAAGACAGGAAATAAAACCGCACCGTGACACTAATAGCTTTATGCTACTGCTACGGCCCTAAAACCGTCTTTCTAAGCGCTGTGGCTGTTTATTGGTCCGTAACACTGTAACATCTGGCACATCTGAAGAAGTGGCCGAGGGAATCCCATTTCCCTCTTGCATTAATTGGCATTCACAGCTGTTTGGAGCAGAAGGACCTCTGCTGAAATCACCCCAGAGAGAAGCAGATAAACTTCGCTGCGCTGCCCTCTGTGGGCTCAACGGTTCCGGTCGGTTTTTACTTCTGACCCCACTCACCTGTGATGTCATGTTGCGCCCCAACGTGTGGTGAAAATGTCAACACGTTGCAAACAGGATTAATGGATTGGAATTCTTCCCTAAAATATCTCAAATATCAACAACAAAACATATTTTACGGCCATGCACTCGGTTTGGATTTGCTTAATTTATCTGATCTGCTGAGGCTCCTGCTGCCGTCCTGATACTGGGTGGTGGATTTGAGTTTGTTCATGGACCTTGTTCCATTTTCTCTGTCAACTCTCCACTGTTAGATATTTCCATTATTCCATCTTGGGTCGTGCGGTGCTATTTTGACTGCATAAATGCATGAGAAAGATCAAAAATCACCTCTGAGACCAATGCAAGTCGGTGTTGTGTTGAAAATGAGAAGCCACAATGGAGGAATATTGCACATTATTCGTTTATGTTCTTTCAGATCAGTGGTTTCTGAAGATAATATGTGTGAAAATGACATTACATTACAGGTCATTTAGATGATGCTTTTATCCAAAGCGACTTACATTACATTTGTAACCCATGGCTTTTTTTTTACATTATTTGCCTGGGGAGCAATACGGGGTCAGGCGTCTTGCTCAGGGACACTTCGACATGGGGCAGCCGGGGCTCGAACCACCAACCTTGCAGTACCCAGCGCACCCTCTCTACCCCTGTAAAATAGTTTCAACATCTGATGGCACATTACATTACATTCCCTCAAGTGTTGTCATCGATGCACGACGGACGGACAGATGGACCAAGGTCACGTGATTGTCTCACCCACGATTTGTTCATCAAAGGCGGTGAACCTGGAGAAGAGGCTGCGAACCACTTCTCCCTCTCAGAATGAGTCCAACTCCAGTCTGCCAAATATCTAGAGTGCACGTGCTGGGATCTAATAAAATGGGCAGGCATATGAAAGTAAACATGCACTTTATGGAACGGATGAAGAGAATAGGCTACAGGAAAGAGTTGGACTGTCCTTATCCTCAGGATTTGGGACATATTAGAGAAGGACTGTCTCGGTTTCTCCGTCTGGTTCTATAACTCATCCTAATCATTCTAATAAGCCATTAACAAGCTTCTCGAAAAGCATCAAAAGCCAATCCTGGATTCTTTTTCAGTGAGTTAATTCAGTCAAGAGGAGACTTCAGGGGAGCAGACGGTCTGATGGACTGAATTCCAACTCGGGTAAGGAAGATTACTGTGTTTCTAAAAAAAGCTTTATGGACTCGCTTCAATGGTTCCGCGCATTCTGTTGAATCTCATCTTGTCCTTTAACCTCCCTTCTAATCAAAATGGATTTAAAGCCATCGGAACATAAAGCTTTGAGCCGCATATACGTGGACTGCATGTGAGTGTGTGCGCGCGCTGGTATTTGCACCGTGGGGTTTCTGCTGGCCTCTCAGGGCTGTACACTAACCCCCCCTCCTTCCCCCCCAAGGATGAAAAGCATCGTAATGAATCCTAACCACCGAAGCACCAGGTGCATTAGAAGTCGGAATGGTGGTGAAGAGGGAGAGAGAGCGCCAGCAGACTTTCATCTTTCCCCGAAATGCAGAAATGCTTGAGGGCCGGCTGCAGGTCCGTGCGCCGCTCTAATGGCTTTCTGTGAGGAGCTTCCACCAATTTTCTTCTGCCCTCTCTGTTTTACCAAAATCGATACGTGTCGGTCTGTTCCCTGTAACCACATTTTACTCTGAGTTCACTGCGGGGCGTCTCGCTCAGGTAGCTGTCATCGTAATGTGTAAGTTATGAGGCTTTGTCCCAATTATCATTTGTGCCTCCTACAATTTCACACTGTGTTCCCGCTGACCTTTCACCTCGGTATCCCTAATGTATCTCTCCCGAAGCAACAGAATATCACAGATATATTTTTGTTTTTCTGGTGCAATATTATGCTTTTGGTAAACACTGTGCTCCCGGTCAGGATGTCACTGAATTACACCGGCATTCAGCAAAAATAAACATACTCAAAGCGAGCACTTACCAAACACTCAGCTACGGCCTCAAAGACACGAGACAAAGATTTACTTTATCCACAGAGCGAAGGGAAGGTACAGGAATACATGAGGTGAATGCAGGCACGCAGCATCTAATGCAGCGAGCAAAGTACTCATCACACATTTCTCCTCCAGTGTGTAAGAAGCGTGCACAGTGCGGCATCCAGGACCTTTGCCTATCTGGTGTTTCGAGGCTCGAGTGTCCTTCTGTGTTGATTCTAATGGAGATCTAAAGCTGCAGGAAAAGAGAGAGACCTCACCGACTGCGTATTTACAGTCAGAAACCGCTCAGTACCTTTTATTCACAGGAGCCAAACAAAGAAGTGAAGGGTAACACAACAATAAATATTTACATATTTCTGTGGTTTGGCATTTTCATGTGTTTCATTTGGGTAAAGGGTTCACACAAGGATGAGGGTTTTAGTTTTAAATATTTACATTGAAGCTCCACTGGACAAACCCTGCACCCTTCCGTGCTTTTACTTGACGTCCCACAGGCATCTGGTTTAAAGAAAAGCATCAAGGACTATTTTATTTGAAAAATATTATTTGAAAAATATTATTTGAAAAATATCATTTTCAGAGACAACAGCGAAGCAAATTGAGTTTACATGGTTTTGGGTTCTTTGTTTGATTACAGTATTGAAGCCGTTATGTCATTTTCAATATTAAGCTAAAAATGTAGCTTCATAGAAAAAAAATTCAAAATACACGGTGACTAAAAATGTCAGCAGTAACAAAGAGAACCCAATGCATAAAGTCAATGTCAAGCCCTGAATGGAACAACAAAGTATATTGTACAATTGCGGCGACAGCGATCGAAGGGGAATCGCGCTGAAGATCTGCTGAAAACAATCCATCATTTATGAGGGATGTTTGGTGGGTTTGATGACCTTAGACATGGAGATCAGAGGGTGAGGCCTCAGTGCTGTGCTGTGAAGCGCTTTAATGGGTCTTTGGGTTTTGTTCATAATGAAACAGAGCCCCCCCCCCCCCCCCCCCCGTCAGATGCTCGGCCCCGTTATTAGTGAGAAAGGTCAACTCTGAAAATGTCAAAGTAATGCGCTGAGATGCATTCTGACAGTTGCAGCTTTGACTCAAAAGTGTGTTGATGAAACCAAATTTGTGTCGATATTTGAAGTCGTTCAGCTGATTGCAGCCTTTTGTACGCTGACGTAAAAGTATTAAGTGTGTGTTTCAAATAATCCCAACGTGGAGCTTTGGAGACGTTTTTGACGACAAATCACTAAAATAACTGTCCAGCGAATGCAGTCAGGAAATTGTTAAATTACTGGCAAAAACCATCACGTATTTGCTTTTTTTCCCCCTCTACCCGTCTCCCCTGGTTGCGGCCACTTTATCACCACCTACTGAAAATGAAACTCATATCGGTGGCCTGGCTGTGACTCCCTCGGAAATAGACTTTTAGCTGCCGCAGACCTCCGTCCTTGTCGCCCATATCGGGGGAAATGACTTCAAACAGCAGAGCTTTCAAGCCGGGCCTCATTTAATCCAATCAGACGCTTGCATCCTTACAAACCCGCCGGTGCTGAAACCGTTTTAAAAGGCTTGTGATCCATTAAAGTGAAACGATGCCCACGGACGACCTCTGATCACAGGTTTGGCTTTAACGTTTGTACCGAGCGATCTTTCCTTGCGGGTTGAATTATTTGATCATGAGATGGGTGGTTCACAAAGAAAGCTGAAACATCTGACAAAAGGAATTCCATTAATCCTTTTGCAAACCTTCCAAGAC